AAACTTAGCAATAGTAATCAAAGTAAGTAGTTTTGATTAGAATTATTTTAGAGTGTTTTTGGTGTCCCAATGCTCAAAAGTACTTAGAAAAAGAAAGGCTATAAACAAAGTTTTTTCTTTGGAAAGTAAAGTGTTTAGTTAATTTCATTCGCTGATTTCTGAGTACAGAACTGCAGTCGGTTGCTGAAATAAAATCAGAAGCAAAATATTTCTAGATAAAGTTGTCACCATACAAAAGAAAGAAGCAAACATTTGAGAAAGGAATTTGTACCACTTCTTGAAACCGCAATTCTAGGTACCTTGGTACCGCTGTCAATATATTCAGCAGTTCAGCAATCCCGGCATTGCATATTTCATGGGACATTATTTTATTATCAGCTTACAGGGCGGTAACAAATTTTTAGGTTACAAGAGTGCGGGGAATGCGAAATTTTTTTTTAAATTGGCAGTAACTTTATTTACCGGTAACAATGCAGAGTACCTAGGCCTGTTTACTTCTAACTGAGAAAGAAGACGGACCGAAGCCCTATGAGGTACAAAAGTTCCAGATAAAAACTCTGTCAAGAACGAGTTAAATTGCCGAAACAAATTTTTTCTTTAGCTTTTTCTTATGCTGTATAATGAACGACGAATTCAGAGCAAAAAATATAATAAAATGCTCAAGGAAATCCTTTCCGAAGATATTACTTCCATTCTAAGTCTAACATATCTTTTTCTTCCTATTTTTTTGGCGCCGTGACCGCCTAAGCGATTTTAGTCGAGTCTAAACTGACGCCAATTGGAAATACCAAATGAAGCCAAGTCCTGGTATTTCCAACGCAGGGGATGCCTTCCTCTTCCTCTGTTACCAGCATGGCGACCCGCATTAAATACTACAGCACTTCCGTACACTCGAAGGACTGTTTTTTTCCAAGATTTGGCGTATTGGGAATACCTGGTCTATGGTGGATTTTCCAGGTCTAAAGCCACACTGATAAGGTCCAATCAGTTCGTTGACAGGCTTCAGGCTTTCACACAATACACTCGATAAGACCTTGTAACCTATGCTTAGAAGGCTGATTCCGCGGTAAATTTTCGCGTATGGTGGGATCGCCTATCTTGTGGATTGCGCAGAGCCTGCTTATACTCCAGTCGGGGGGCATGCGATCATCTAACCATATTGTGCATAAGAGTTGATGCATGAACCTTATCAGCTCCTCGCCATCGTACCTGAATAGCTCAGCTGGCAGGCTGTCAGCTCCAGCAGCTTTGTTGCTTTTCAGCCGCGTTACTGCTATTCGTACCTCGTCATAGTTTGGCGGTGGAACATCGACTCCGTCATCATCGGCTGGGAGCTCGGCTTCGTCTTCTCCACAACTTTCCGTGCTGCTACCATTCAGTAGGGGGGAAGTGTTCCCTCCATGATTTAAATACGTTCTGGACGGCAGTCACTAGTTCGCCGTTGGTTTTATCACAAGAGTTCGCCCTGGTCTTAAAATCTTCCTTAAGTCGCCTAACGGTCTGGTAAAATTTTCGGTCTTTTTTCCTGTCGGCCAGCATTTCAAGCTCTTCGCACTGACGTGTTTCGGCCTCTCTTTTCTTATTGCGGCAAATACGCCTCGCTTCATTCTTGAGCTCCCTATGATGGTGCCACGTGGCACCTTTTTTCTCTGCAGCTTCTTGACAATCCTCATCGTGGCAGTTGTTCTTTCGAGCTCGCTGAAATACGACTACTTCTTCGTCGGCGCTACTTAATAACCGGGAAATGTGGTTCCACTGCTCACACATGTCGGTTTGTTGAAGAGTGTTCTCTGAGAGCAGGTATGAGAATCGAGTAGCGAATGCATTGGCCGCCTGTTGTGGTTGCAGCTTTTCAACGTTAAGCTTTCCTTGCATTATTGGGCGCATATTTCTTGCTACACAGAGATGGGTGCGTATCTTGGCAGCAGCCAGATAGTGCTTCAAATCGATATTTGAGCCTCGGAGCCTACGTGCGTCTAAAACACTGGAAGCGTGCCTTCCGTGTTTCACAACATGATCGATTTAGTTTCTCTTATCTTTTTATGCCGGAACATACTACCATGTTTCGGGCCCCGGCGAAGTCGATCAGCCAAAGGGGCGCCAAAGATCCCTTACTTTCTCACCTTGGCAATGAAATCGCCAAACACGGTTTGGATATCGTGTCGGGGACAGCGCTCATATATATATATTCTCTTCTGTCGGGCATGGGCGGATTGTGGCTGGACGTTCGTCCACCGGGGTGAACGCCAGAGCTCGGCGATGGAGTTTTTCTCTGACCACAAATGCAACACCAAATTTGTGCTCCTTTACGTGGCAACTGTAGTAGACGTCGCAAGACTCTACGCTTACCTTGCCTTGCCTCGTCCATTGCATTTCTTGGATGGCATCAACCAGCCGGTTTGAGGCACCTTCCCCATTAAGGGTCCAAATATTCTAGGTGCATACCCTCAAATCACAGTCACTTAAACGTTTGCCGTGGTCGTCATCGGAAGGGGGTCTAATCTGGGGCTAGTTGTTCGTTTTCATTGGGTGGGGTTTTAACGTGGTGTGATCCAAGCCCAGCGCACGCGAAATTTTACGCCTTCTCACTTTAGCTCGCTCCCAAACGGGTTTTTTCGTCGCTCCCTAGAGGATACGTGGTCATAAATATCCGGAACTACGATTTGAACCGTATGAAATTAAATTCATTTTCTTAGAACATTTCTTTCTCACTTTATATACTAGTTGTAAATGTTAGCTACGCGTTTGGAGATGCCAGAGTAGTTTTGCCTTCTAAGGTTCTCCCTAATGAATAAGGAGCTCATAGCAACTAATAATAATAATAATAATGGCGCATACACTTTGGCTAAGTATCTGCCTACTCCCTAAAGTGCGGTATAATAATGACACAAGCGTATATTTACAGGAAACTTTATCACTAGACTCTAATTAGCAAATTTATTTTAATAATCTTATTTTTGGTATCACAAAATTATTTGGCTTTAGATTAGAATAGGAAAAAAGTTTTAACTATATTTTTATACGTCATCTTATATAATGTAAGTATATTTTTTTATATTTTGGTGCTTGTGGTAGTGTAACCTTGGCACAAATCTTGAACTTGGTTCAATAAAAAATCGTATTCTTTTCTTACTTTTACTACAAACTTTAGTGCAGCCGTTCCATCGAAAGTGGATGACATTTTTGTCTACACACTTCTATTTATGAAATCCTATTGCCAAAACTGCACATCTCCATTAGCGAATAATTACTATGCAGGAATAATCGTTGCAACATTGTTGCCACCACAGCGGCATACCAACGCGTACCGATGCCCGTTTCCACGCGCTGAAAAGTGCTCACCGCACGTCCGCGTCCAGTATTGCAAAGCGATTTTTCACAGCAGGAAGTGCAGGCATATAATTTTGTCCTCTCGCCGATCACAATGCAGCCAGCCTCACAATTGACGGCACAGCGTCGATCCAAGGACCACATTTTTGGCGCGCTGGTGGAATTCTCAGTGCTGGTGGTGTAGGAAAAGCGTTTCACCTGCGAGGGGGAAATGGAATGTTAATAAAACGGGAGTTGGAAAACTTCCCTGATCGATTACACACATGTGCATATATATGTATGTTCCAAACTTACCATACAAATAAACTCCTCGCCCTTGCATTTGCGTATGAAATTCGAAAGATTACGTGTCGTAACATCCACGCACGCCTCTCCATGGTCCATGGTGTCGCATTCGTAGCAGGAGAGATCATTGATACGCTCGGTGGCAGCTTGTGTACGATGCACTGTATTCGAAATCGATTGTCCATCAGCTGTAAGAAAATGTGCCAAAACTGAGCGTGTATCGATTTTTTCCTGTGCTTTAACCCAATTAGGCCGTTACCTGACTGCAGCGCGGCCAGCGCGACATAAAATAAATATATTGCTATTGGCTGTTTGTGCGGCATCTTTATGCGATTTCATAAGATTTAGAAGATATGCTTTTAAATGCGATTTATCGTCTTTAAGTGAATTTTTCTTGAAGAGCCCTTTTCTGGCTTTTGTAGTATTTACACACCAACGATGACAGCGATGAACTTGTGTTATATAGAGAAAGTGAATAGAATTAGCGAATGTCAACAGAGTCGTCAACAAGCCAAGGACATGCGCAATGGCTACTCAATGCTTGTTCAGGGATTGCTATTACAGCTGCTAGTTAAAGGCACTTGTTGGTCTTTCTACTTGCTTAAAAGTCCGTTACGCTTCAAAATTTAAATTTAAATTTATTCCGCTCAAACGAAGAATTTCAAAACATTTTTTTTTTTTTCAGTTCTATCTTTATTATAAAGGCAAAAAAGGGTAACTTGACCTCAATTGTCCTCCTTCAACTAAAATTCTGTATCCGCTCCTGATTTTCAACAAACAAATTCATCCCAAGAAGTATTTGTAATTTATGTCTTTTTGTAGTTTTATTTTCTCTCCCTCTTTCTCTCTAAACCCCGCTACCAAAGTAATTTTTGACACTTATAAGTTAATACTTGCAGCTGAACAACGGGTTCTACAAGTCTTCATATAGGGGTGGCAACTTTATGGTTTCCATTGGCTGAATACGCCTACCCGTTCTCTGAATACATCTCTAATGCTCATTGTACAGCTGTCAGCGGCAGGTAGAATACAGCTCCATTCCCACAGAAGCCGACTATTTACTCCACCCATTGCACAACGGCCTAAGGAGGCTTGAGCATAGATCCACCCGTCAAGAGCTTGAGATGAACAGTTTCCCGATGAATAAGTAAACTCATAGGAAATGCAATGTCTACCTCCTCTGATCTCTACCAACCCTAAACCTGGTCCACCGCTCCCTCTCAATTTATTTTGCGAAATCGCAGCTTACATTTTCTCGAGATGTTCATGTGCCTCATAATTAGTACTTTCCGAATTTAGAAGAAAATACTATATGTACGAGTATTAGATATTCATTCACATACTATTTTACGCTGGATAGCAATATGGGCAGGCTCCCAGAACTTTCGAAATTCGAGACATTCGCACAGGAAGTACTTGCGAATTGTATCTCTCCCCTGTCTAAACAATTTCCTGACATCCTTGTGATCATTAGGGCAGAGTTCTTGTCAGTAGATTTATGTTCCTCTTGGTGTTTACCATATCGATGATCGGAGCATTAGAGACACCACAAATATGTCCACTTTTATAAGTTCTTACGCTGAACTGATTCTCCTCTTTGAGAGCAAAAGTCTTAAGGAGAGTTTTACTCCTGGACCCAGTTTTACAAGTCTCACAGTAACCCCCTTCCTCGCGCATTCTTACGGTTCATTAGTTTCGAAAGCACCACTAATCTCTGGGTTGCTTTCTAGAGGTGGCACTAAGCATTGAAACCCGAAAAGTGCGGGGCTTGTCTATCGGCTCATCGCACTAAAACCCCATTCCTGCTCTGGATCACCCGCTCCGTGGAACTAGCGTTAGGTATTATTTCGCGGAAAGACAACGCCCTATTGCCTTTCAATGAAATTCTGCGGAGTTATTTCGCACACCCGCAATTTAGTTAAAATGATGTTTGCCATATATGGACCAGTTTTCCTCTGACTGAGGCAACGTAGAAAAACATCCCTTTAGATTGCCAACTGCGAACAAATGAAAAAGCAGTGTTCGGCGTCTTCAATAATGTAATTTGCACGGAAGGTGCAGTAAGGATTCGTTTGAATTTATACAAATAACATTTAAAACACTCATGTCCCCTCAGTATTTGGATTAGGTGGAAGTCCACTTCACCTTGTGAACTTTCTAGTCATCTTTGTAAAGAAAGAATTAGGCGATATGTCAAGCGTGCCTTACCTGAAGTGTTCCACCGACTCTGCCGCATGTGCAAACAATTTTGTTTCGCCGCATTAAGGGCCGCCATATTTACTGGGATTTCAGCCACCTCTCTCGCCAAAATGTGTATACATATATATCACAAGCGCTGCTTCTTCCGACGTTGTTCAGAATGCGCACTGAGTCGATACACTGATCTTGCCTCTCTTGCGTGTGAAACTTTTTCGAGCGCAACTTACCAGATAGGTGCGCCGCACAGGGAAAGACTTCACACCACGCTTGCGTGCAGCTGCTTGAGTTATTGCCGGGATCCCTCCGCTTTCACCATGTGTCTTGATAGCGCCGCTGCAACTTTTTCTGGTTTCCCTACTGCGCCGTAAATTTTAGCCTATCGTCAAACATAGTACCTAGGTATTCGCGGGCAGCTTTTGAGACGATTTCATGTCTTCCTACTCGCTCTCTTCGTTGCTTGAAAGGGTGTAATATACGTAGCCTCTTTAGTAGGGAACTTCGAAGTTGTGGCCGAAGTCTCCGTCATCTAATAATAAAATTTCTCTGTTTAATCCCAACTCCGTTCGAACTAGAGGCTGTGGGTTAGAGCAAAACCAGCACCCGACGTAAACCCGTAGACCGTGTCAACTGACACGACCTATCTTATGGGATTCTCGTGTTAACGAAAACTCACCACCGCACGACGATGACGTTGTCGTTGCTTCTCTCTCTCGCTATCAACAGCAATTTTATATGTTGATACGGACGGCAAATGCAGTAGGGCGCTCCGTCGGTGGCTGGTTGAGCTCTCATAATAGAGCGCTCTGTCCTTCAGAGTGTATATGACGTCACCTTGAGCGTCAAGTTGACTGCTGCTATTATACATATATGTATGCCCTAACAGCCAAAAAGAGGTCAGCGAAATTTTTTTCAAGGGGGTTAGGGGTCGATATGTGTAACCACCAATGTTCCTTGAATTTTGTATTCTTCAGTATCTTTAAAAACGTACATTTACTAGATTTAGCGGCTTCGAATTGCCTGACTTGATGGCCGAGGGGCCTGCCTTGGTTGCCTTAAAACTATGAACTGGAGCTGTTGGTAAATCTTACAAAAAACTTCAGCGTTTAAGGGCATACAACTCGAAGAAATAACGCGAGGCAAGAATAGTTAGGATGTTAGCAATGAAGAAGTCCACGATTACAGTAAGAATAAAAGAAGCGATCGAAAGATGGCGAATTTGGAGCAGAAATTTCACTGTACGGCGGACCGTGTCAACGATTCCAAGTTTGAAGTTGGCCAATCATGGAATTTGTTTACCGACTGGGTTAATTTACGTTCGACAACTAACCGGAAGCTTGTTCCATAGATAAATTATTTCCATTTTTTTTTTTTGTAAAATTTTGATGCATTATATTTATCGCATCTATTACAAAAATACAACGCAAGATATAAGTGATTCGCTTCCTCGCCACATAGCAAATAAGCTTCGTTACGCAGTTTCCTAGTACAACCTTAAATACTGCAGCGCCTGCCGACTCTGAATTGGATATAGCTCCCCGACGTTAAACATCAGATCAACAATATGAGTGGGACGCAGCATACGCCAAGGCATGAATTGCATTGTCTTCTTGTCGCAGTGAGTGTCATGTTCCATCTCCGCCGGCAGCGGCACCTCGTTGAACAGCAGACGCCCATCAACGGCGCGTTGCAAAGTACAGGGTAGGCCAATTTGATCGGCTAGCGCCTTGAAAAGAATAGCGCGCTCAAACTGGCAACCAGTGCGCACCATGCCAATCGGTATGAAATTGCAATGCAGCATCCTTGCCAAATCAATAAAATGGCACTTCACAGTGTTGTTACAGCATTCTTCGGTGGTATTGAGGTCGAGTCGTTTCAAATCGCTACTCAGAGCGGCCTCCACAACTTCGGCTATAACTTTGGCGCGTCTTGCCAAGTTATCGAAATCTATGCCACGACTAATTTTCGCTGGATTTTGTAGCAAACCATATTTCTGAAAATACGTGTATGCCGTCGGTTATTTATTTACATACATACTTATAGGAATGTTTGTGATATCTATTTGTTAAATCTAAACTCAAAACTCACCTCCAGTTCCTGGTTCACATTATCAAGTATACGCGGCAGCTCACTGTCGCCTGGTTTACGGCAGTAACACCAGGTGACGCCAGTGCGCTCCTCGACAGAAAAGCACTCGATTGGCACCTCAATAACCAGTTCTGGTGGATTAACGGTGCGCTCAAAATTAACCACCAAAATTGGATGCATCGGTGAAACATCCGCTTTTAAAATATGTTGGAAAATTCGGAAATCATCAAACTTTTTCTTAGATACCAGAAAATCATTGCCAGCAGTGCTGTCGGTAAACCCTAGATGATTGCGTATGCAAAACTTCAGACTAGGACTCTTGGAGAGTATGGCCTCAATGGCGGGTCCCCAAGTAGATACACACATAGCAAGCTTTTGATGCATAATAAGACTAGGTTGGAAAAAATGTGCAGGTTGTTGATGCATTGCGTATGAAGCGATAATGTTACAAACTCACACTTCCAGAACACCCGCCTCGATATATTCGTGTATCATCTCGGGAAAGCGTGTAGTTTGCATAATAAAATTTGTCACTGAAGTTTTTACGAGATTCGAAAGCGACTTGAGGCCACGTATCATGGACGCAGCAATATGGTGTGATAGCAAAAACGTCCTTATCTGCTCCTCGTCGACCAGCGTGCAGAGGCAACGGAAAATATTGTTCACCAATATAGCTGTCGCGAAGGAGTTCTGTCAGAAAGAGGGAAATGACAAAAACAACGTATAGAGGAGCCAAAAGTAAAGAAACTCACCTTTAGCATGAGTGCAATATTCGTGGCGAGCAGCGCGGATTCACCTAAAACAGCACGATACTCTTCGTTCTGGGCCAGTTGCTCGATGATGTTGAGCAGCGAAAGCATGAAATCAATGGAGAGATCGGTCGGCTGCTGTCCAAATATTTTGCCCAGGACTTGAGGAATTTGCTCCGACAACAGCAGTGGCGCAGTATCATGGAAAGCGAACTGCAATAGGTTGCTTATCAACGTTGCAGCTTGCTCGCGTGTGCGTATATCAATGCCAGGCTGTGATATAATAGCTAGACAATACCAATAAGAGAAGAATCAAT